TTTCATGCCTGAGGCACACAGGCTGCGTGGCTACGGGGGGCGACAGCAGCCGGCAGGGCACCGGGTCGGCAGTCGAATTTCGCCGCCGAGCAACGACCAGCCAAGCATCGTCATTGGTTTGGCCTCTCTTCTTTCCTCTCTTCATCTCAAATCTGTCGTCTGGTTGTGGTCGGGGATGGCATGTTTCTTGACTAAGGATTGATCTCATCGTCATCGTTACTGTGCCCCACCCTCTCCCTATCGCGCCGAAGGGTTACTATCATCAACGTCGCGGCCAAGTGCCGCTTTAGCTCGGACAACCATGGCCTTCCAAGTCCCCTTCCCCAAGCCGGTAAGTCTTGCTATCTGTCCACGCTCGAACTCGGTTTCTCTAACTAATGACTCTCCCCGCAGGGTCTTGCGGCCGTGACCTCAGATCTCTGGCCGTCAATGACACGGTTGTTTAATGCGCCCCGAAATAACGTCGAACACGCCTCCCGCTCCGGATATGCCGCCCCTCAGCCCTCCCAACGCGCGGTTGCGGAAGCAACCTCCACGGTATGTCTCGCTAGTCGGCCGTATGACGATGGAGTTGGTGCGCTGATATACATACACATAGGGATCAAGTAGTGTCCAGCTGCCGGAGTTTCTGGCTACTGTGTCCTCCGAGGCGTTGAAGGCAAGCATCTTGAGCAAGACCACTCAAAGCGGATGGTCTCGCTCCTTGCTCAATGGTATACATTTCTCGTCATATCCTTGGGAAGCTTGCTCTAACTTGAACCTATTTGCAGGAACCACAATGTGGACCTCGCCGTCTCTCGCTAACCGTCATCTTGCCTCTCCCTCTGCTCGTTCCTACTCCACGATATCCATGTCCTTCAACCGTCTTCGCCACGCTCCCAAAGTACAAGGTCTCTCCCGGTTACAGCAACAGCGTTTTCTGTTCGGTGGTTCTTCTCACAATCTATTGGCGCAGAAGGAGAAAACTGCCAACAACAACCCTAGCAGCGCAAACGCTCAGAATGCTTTCTACCAGGCCCTTCTCCGTGCAAACCACCCTGCCATTGTTGTTGAACGGTACAAAAGCGGTCATTTCGCCACGAATGCGGCCACGGACGAACTCTACATGAAAGCCTTGCAACGCGTTGGTGGCGTGGATTCTGCGGTAGCGGTCCCTGCGTCCGGCCAGGCCGTCAGCCCCGAGCGGCTGCAAGCCATCGGCCAGGCCGTCGCAACTCAGTTTCACGGTGGACAATTCGGTAATTCTACACACTACGGTACGGCAGTCAAGCAGACTGGCACTGGAAACAAGGAAGATCCGCTGCACGTAGTTGTGGAGGAGTCAACAGGAAGTGCTGTCTTCAGATGGGTCAAGTTCTTGTTCTACTTCGCCTTCTTTGCTTATCTGTCTCTGGTCATGATCACGATCTTGGTTGAAACGACTGGTGCTTTGAAGAACATCAGGGGACCGCAGAACAGCGAAGCTCAGCCTCAGCAGCAGACCGTCCGTTTCAGTGATGTGCATGGTTGCGATGAGGCCAAGGAAGAACTTCAGGAACTCGTCGAATTCCTCACTAACCCCGATCGCTTCTCTTCGCTTGGTGGCAAGCTGCCCAAGGGTGTTCTCCTGGTCGGTCCTCCTGGTACCGGAAAGACTTTGCTGGCTCGTGCTGTTGCTGGAGAGGCTGGTGTTCCCTTCTTCTACATGTCTGGCTCTGAATTCGACGAGGTTTACGTGGGTGTTGGTGCCAAGCGCGTTCGTGAATTGTTCACCCAAGCCCGCAGCAAGTCCCCTGCCATCATCTTCATTGATGAGTTGGATGCCATTGGTGCTAAGAGGAATGAAAGGGATGCCGCCTATGTGAAGCAAACCCTGAACCAATTGCTTACCGAACTTGACGGCTTCTCCCAAAGCAGCGGGGTGATCATCATTGCCGCAACCAACTACCCCCAACTTCTGGATAAGGCTCTCACACGTCCCGGTCGCTTTGATCGCAAGGTGACTGTTGGCCTTCCCGACGTTCGTGGCCGTATGGATATTCTCCGTCACCACATGAAGGACGTCCAGGTCAGCATGGATGTTGATGTTGGTGTCATTGCTCGTGGTACCCCTGGTTTCTCTGGTGCTGATTTGGAGAACCTTGTTAACCAAGCTGCCATCTATGCCAGCCGTAACAAGCAAACCAAGGTTGGCCCCAAGGACTTTGACTGGGCAAAGGACAAGATCATGATGGGTGCCGAGGCTCGCAGCCGTATCATCCAGGACAAGGATAAACTCCTCACTGCCTACCACGAGGCCGGCCACGCTCTTGTTGCTTACTTCTCTCCTTCCTCTACGCCCTTGTACAAGATCACCATTGTTCCCCGAGGCATGGCCTTGGGTGTGACTCACTTCTTGCCTGAGATGGATATGGTGTCGAGAAACTACACCGAATACCTTTCGGATATTGACGTCTCCATGGGCGGTAAGGCTGCTGAGGAGCTTGTTTTCGGCCCTGACAAAGTCACCAGTGGAATTTCTGCAGTAAGTCTAACATATTAGCTCAAGAAGACATGGTTACTGACAAATAACAGGACATTCAACAAGCCACTGAAACCGCCTTTACTTTGGTCACCCGTTTCGGCTACTCTAAGAAGCTCGGAAACGTGGACCTGTCGAGCAACTATGACAGCCTCTCGTCGGAGACGAAGCAGGAGATTGAATCCGAAGTCCGTCGTTTAGTGGAAGAGGGTCGTGTCCGCGCCAGCAACATTCTGACTGAAAAGCGGGAGGAGCTGGAAATCTTGACCAAAGCTTTGATTGAATACGAGACACTGACAAAGGAGGAGATGGAGAAGGTCCTGCGAGGCGAAAAGCTCGACAAGCTGCAGTCGGCTCCCGCAGCGCCGCTGAAATTGCCCGAAGCCTTACAGACGGCCCGGCTACCACCTACAGTGGCCAGCGGAAACTCCGTCCAGGAATAAGCGACCTTTCACCTCTGATTATCCCCTTTATTTTACGATCATCGCCTGTTACAGCTACAACATCATAGGAATGTTTTGATATGCACGCCCCCTTCTTTGCGTTTTATCCTTCCTCGTCCTCATGTGTCATATGTATCGAGAAACAACCCAAATACCATCATCAACTTATCTCTTTTTCTACCTCATTGATACGGGGGGTCTCGAGATTCTGACCATCACCTAATCAAATTCTTTGGTTCGTTTACTTTTTCCTATCTTGATTTTCTTCTCAGTCTCCGTATTCACCGTGATTGTCTGTTTGCGTCTACTGATCGCGTTTCTCCTTGTCTCTTTTGTTTAATCTCAATGCCTTGGTTCAAAGACTGGGTGGCAGGCATACAGGTGAATTTGGCACAATTGTATTATTTACATACGTACATATAGCGTGCATCAAATTCCACACGAACTTGCACTTTGCATGGGTTTCCCATAAACAGTCTATTAGTAGTAGTCAAGTCTTCTGTCGAACTGTGCCAGTGTGCCATTGAGGCCTCTCCATGAAGAAGGAGCTGAAGTATACCCGGAGGGTGATATTTAACGGATTTCCAGCTACTAATTTCCTGGTTTTCACACCATATTGGAATTTCGTCTCCACAAGGCTAGACAACATTCTTTAAACACATCAACCTCGTCCCTTCAGATGTGGAGTCCACTCCTTCCCCATGTATGACCAGAAGATCTGCTCCTACGTTCCATGTATAATAACAACGGCACGACCTTCGAGTTGCGTCGAGGACAAGGTGACTATTTAGACCTTCCTGTACGAACTAGACGCTTATCGCATTCCTATAGACTAAGAGAAGGGAAATTAGAGAAGGGATTAGCCCGATATATCACCAACAATCTTAACGTTATATCTTTCATCGCCGACCAAATTTATGATTCAAAGTGTACAACGGGTTGACTCCTCGGGTAATCATCCCACGGAAATGGCGCGGATCTATCATAAATATATCATTCAGTGACGACTCACTGAAGCCAACTAATCACTCCAGTGTCATTCTATGACCCTTCCCAAAGTACATACATAGCCTAGAAGTGAGATGGATAAAGCGCCAAACAATCTAGACTACTGCTGAAAGTTGAACGAACGACTGTGTGTTTCTTTACATGCCCAAGCAACTGCCTGCCTACCTTTCGAAGTCTAATTTGAAGCTACAAAAACCTTTTCAGATCATCTCTCATCAGATACCTACAACACCCTCCCATCCAAAATCCATCAATAACATCATACTGATTACGATGGGCGACGCTACCCAATTCCACTGCCCCCGCCACGATGGCCCCTACTACTCTCACATGATCCAAGCAAACGAAGCAAGGTCCAGTTACTACTGCTGGCTTGTAACAGCGGCCACTCGCGACGACATGATAACCTTCTTCAAGGGGTTTATAAAGTACTCGAAGACGAATAATGGCGCGAATATCACCGACGTGAAACCAGTCCATCTTGCATGGTGGACGTTCAATTGCCCGGGTGACGATCATGTGTGGAAATTTCTGGAGCAGATCTATCAGTCGAATATGCCTTGGTATAGGGGCGTGGAGGAGTTGAAGCAGAGTCGCGGGAAGATTACTATGACACAATTGCGTGGAAATGGGGGTAGTTGGCTGGTTTTGCCGTGTCAGGATGTTTCGTTGGGGGGTCATTTTGATTTGGTTGAATAGGTGGGAGGGGTGGGGGTGTGGTATGAATGATGATAATGGGATGTATGTGTTTCGGCTAGTGCGTGCTATAGGGGTTGGGTTCTGTGTGTCTCTACTATCTACTACCTATGCTTATTGACTTGTTGTGTGAAACGAGAGGCTATATTATAATGCTAATGCGGTTATCTGTGCTGTAGCTTGCAGCTGAATAAATCCAATTAGGAGATTAAGGAAATGACCACGGCGTAGCGGACTAGGTAATAAATGCATGTATGTACATTAACAAACATCATTAGAAATGAAAGACAAGCTGCGCGAATAGAACGGTACTCGCTTAATTTGCTGTAACATGGGAAAGAGACCAAAAGATGAATAATAGCAATGCGTTATCATTACAACCTCTGCCTTTCACCATCCATTTCATGTCGTATCGGACTTTGAATCAACCCTTAAAAGGAATTTTACCCAACCATCAGCCGACATAACATCGTTAAGGAAAAGAGGAAATGTTTTGTATTTAGCCGCGAGAATTGTATTTCTCATTGAAGGCGTTGACGGCTAAGTAGATGTTAGCATCAGTTGATGGCAGTTGTTGGGCCGTATGTTCACTCACCAATTGCTATCTGCCGGTACAGCCAGTTCCTGGAGCTCTCATCCTGGACCGGGATGAAGGGGCCATTGGCACCACCCTTGAGGGTGATGCTCATGCCCGTACGCTCCTTGGATATAGTTTGGATGTCCGTCAACCGCATGTCCCATTCAGTGCGGAGCTTCTTGGTGCGCACGAGAATAATCCGATCGTATGTCAACATGACCAGCATGTCCCGGCCCGGAAGTTCCAGGTGTGCGATGTAATCCTCGTTGAAAAACTTCCCATCATCGGCTGTCTTGAGCCAGAATTGTCCTAACGCTTCGCGCTGAGAGTAGGGCCGCACGATACCATCAGTGGCGATGAAGCGGGTGAGGCGAACACGGTCGAGTCCCTCGGCATCGAATACAGTTGTTGTGTTTCGCACGCCCTCAGCCAAATCTAGTCCGAGTCAGTATGTGTTTCTGCTTCGAAAAGAAATCATAAACTTACTTGAGGCAAGGTCAAAGGCGCCTATTGCAGGTTTCGTCGCCAAACCTAAAACGCCCTTTCCAACACCCTTGAAGAATCCTTGAATACCTTCTTTTTCAGCACCCTGCAGTGGATGACGGGCAAGTCCTCCGATCCCACTTGCTAGGCTGGTTGCAAATGCATTGCCACCTGCTGTGATACCATATAAGGCGTGCTTTGGCCGGTTCCGAGACTTTGACATCCGTCGCTGATCTTGGAATTCTTTATCAAGAGTAGCAGCAGCCAAACCCTTCGACATACTTCCAGTAAGCTTGGCCATACTGTCGGAGAACCCAAAGACTGATTTCTTCACGAAGCTTGTAGCACCCTTTGCGATACCATAACCCAGCTCCTGAGGCCTATCAGTCATGACCAGACCCTGGTATGGTTCGTAGAAAATATCCGCCACACCAGAGCTGACAGTGTTGAACAACCCGACTGGATTTCCCAAGAAGTCAGCGGAGCCGAGGACTACATGCACTTGGCGAAGGAATTCTTGCGTGTAGTGTCTCTGAATGTTACTGACAAGCAGTCCAAAGGAGACACGCGCATTCTCCAGCATCAGTGCATTCAGCCGTACAGGGGCATCGTTGACATTTCCCATTGACATTGTCATGACATGAACAAAGAACATGAGTGGGTTGGACGGCTGCAGAGCATCTTCCGCGTTCACACGCTCAGTACGCATGAAAGAGATGTCAATCTGCATAGGTTGCAGATGAAGGAGTTCAAAGTACACATCCTGAGCAGCACCTTCGTTCTGCGGCTCTGGAATGTTCAAGTCTTCATCGCAGAGTTTCCCTTCGTGCGGCTCAGACCACGAAGCACCAGGTACCTTAACAAAGTCCAGCATTGCGGCAATGAAATCCTCATCAAGCTCCAGCGTCATCTGCTGCAAAAGAACCGTGGCGTATTTGATATAAAGAACACCATAAGAGTCGTCCTTGACGCGCGTAGCCATGGCGTGGAAGATTGGGTGTGCTTCCATCTCCTTTCCAGTTTTTGGAACCACACTGGGATACAGCAAAATCGGGAAGATGCCTCCATACAGCTGATTGTCAATTTGAATCCACTTGATCGTGGTGTTCAGAGTCTGATAAACTCTTGATTCCCTAAACTTAACTTCGATATCGCGGAATGTTAGGTAGAGCAACTCCCTTAAGTTCTGATTGATCAAGGAGATGCCAATGCCCCCAAGCCGAAGCTGGGCTTTGAAGTTGACATCCGAATCAAGTTCTTTCACTTCGAAGCCAGTGCTCAAACTGCTCTGCGAGGCTTGTCCCTTTTGCTTGTAAATACTCTTCGACGCCTTGAAGTTCGACAAGACCAAAGTCTGAGTTGGTCCATTTGCAACAATGTTGATATCAATAATCTTCTGAGTCTCTCCATATTGGGTTGGGGGGATCCTCATTGGTATCAAGTTGCCAATCTCAGCAAGTTTGATATGTCTTTCCTTCCCTTTGCATGTCAAGACAAGCGACTTGTTCTTGGTGGCTGGATAGTCCCAGGCATAGGGCATGATGCTGCGAGGAGGAAGGCGATAGCGAATGGGTCGCCAGCCATTTGACCTGTCTTCTTCGTCGTCTTCAAGGTTCGGGTTCTACGGTCGCGTTAGCAATGCACGTTTTGAGACATAAGTAATATACTCACAGCCTGGAAGAAAATGAATTCCATGTCACTCTCATTTCGCATCGAAAAAGGCCAGTTGCGGGGCTCAAAGCTGAAGTGTATGAATAAAGTTGCACACTCCATGATAACATCAACCTTGATGAGCCTCTGGCGTTGATTAGCCTTGGCAAGCTTGACATGTACGGTTCCAATATCGGCAATGTTGAAGGGCGATGACCATTGATTGTTCACTCCTGGGAAGCAGAGGCACAGCTGCTTGTCCACAACTTGACGTAAGAAGTGTAGGGGTGTCAGTTCCCCACTCTTGATCTGTAGGACATTTGACGAGCCAGGCTCCCGGACCAGGATGTCCTCGTTTAGCTTGTTCTTCAGGATGAAGCGTGGTGCAATGGTCACGACCTTCGTCAATTTGTATTTGCCTTCGCCCTCGGCGACAGACACACCTGTATGGATTTCGGATCGGCCATGCCTGTCAGGAAGAACGACTTCGAATGTGCTTCCAATGGCTTCAAAACTCTGGGGCTTGCTCCAAGAAGATTCACCGATTCTCAGCATGGAACGGTTCTTCTGGTCATCTGTCTGGTAGGAGTACATGTAAGGAAGCGACCGGCCACCATGCCTAGAATCAGCCATCAGTCCCTGCCCTGCCGCCGACCGCGCCGACTGCAAGAATGCCTTGCTTTGAATTTCCATAGGAAGTCCGGTCTTATTCAAGATGAGATACGGACTGTAGACAGAAATTTTGAAAGCTCCACCGCTGTCGGGCACGTTGAAGTAATGGAGCTTGAGTCTAAGTTGAATGCCTCGCTCATCTTTCAATGAAAGCACGTGCTCTCTTCTGTAGTCTTGGGAGTTGCCATTGATGATTGCAAAGTCGCTTTGCCTGAAGACAGTGTCCTCCAGATCGACGCTAAGGAGTAATAGATGAGACAGCTCAACAACATGAACAGGGCTCACGCCGCCTTTGCGCAAAAAGTTCGTCCAATCCTTTTTGGTGTTCTTGTCATAGATGCGGTACTTGAAGTCGTAAGGAAGAAGGTTTTGGATCTCGACTGGAGCAAAGATCCGAATACGCATGTAAGGATAGATACCTGTTAGCTTATCTCGGGCGTTGTAAGTAGCATGCAGTTGGAAATAGAAAGGAGGAGCTTGTTGTCCGCCTTCACTAAGGCACTTGATTGTCCGCGTTGGCCGACGCAAAAGCTCTTTCCAATGCAATTGTTCACGAGACCAGTCATAGCCGAAGCCTTGGTCGGGCCGAATAACGAGGGAGTGCATGTACGCTGCTCCAACAGGCGCAGGTCGCGAATCACCAGGAAGAATCTTCTCAATTTTCAAAAGATGGCCATCGTTGGGGTTGAACACGCCCAGCTCTACAGGTATTTGAGTGCTGTTCTCAACAACTAGTGGCGAGCGGAAGGTGATATACTTGACATTGTCGGTACCCAGCTTGACCTCCACAAGCAGTTGGTGAAGAATGCCGTCCTTCTTAGGCTTCAGGCCATACAGGATCTCACCTTCACGAACAACGGGAATACGGCTCACGCTGTCGAAACCACTTCCTTCGAGCTTGACTCCAACAAGCCCAGCATGGCCTTCTGGCGCAAGCGTTTCACGCATAGCAGTAGAATCCTCGAATCGCCAAGGATATTCTTCGCCATCAGCCAGTTTAGCAGCCGGTCCCTCTTCGTCAGCGCTGACATCGGCCCAAACATGCAGATCGAAGCCAGTGTAATTGCGAATTCGGTAGGGCGCATCAGCACCTCTTGGCTTGGAGAGAACATCTTCATCCGTTGATAGGAACTGGAAAGACTTTGATGCCAGGGCAATTGTTGCCGAAGTAACTGTAAGCTCCATCGTCTTGTGAGAGTAGGCATCTATAGAAAGGATCTCAGGAGCAGTCTCCCTCGCAACGTGGAACCCTAGCTGCCAGGGCTCTATAAGGGGTTCCCATGCGGACTTGGAGAAGTTATACACATTGACAAAAGTTTCGAAATTGGTATCGGCATGGAGCGTTGACGACCAGTCACGAATATCAACGTTGAACTTCTTGACACTCCAATCGAGCAGTGGAAGATCGTGAAGGTCTCCAATAAGGATTACCCTGACGCCATCAACCTGAGCATTCAACTCCTCCCGCTTCAGAACGGCAGAGCGTTGCGAAACGAGCTCTCCGCCCGAGTTGTCGGCTGTGGCACTGGAGTGTCGTTGATTCCTCGAGACCATAGCTGTCGAGGTCTGTCTGCCGCTGGATCGTCTCCTAGAAGATATTGGTCTTGTGCTCTTAACATCCGATAGCTTTTTCGGTTCCTCATTTTCAACAGATTGTGTTCCTTGAGCTCTCATCTCAGATGCCTTGTTGACAATCTGTGTCGCCATCAAAATATCGCGAAGAGAGAGACGCAGAACCAACGGCTCGATATGGACATTTATTGAGGTTAAAGAGGAGCCCTTATCCTGTGGGCGACTGTCCACGGATACTTCCAAGGTAAAGTCATCCAGAATTCGAAGCCTGCTTGTTTCGAACTTGTCCATGCGGCACAGAAACATTCCCACCTTGCTTATCTGTAGTGTAGAGACATTTTGATGCGAAAACAGCATCTGCTTCGTTCCAAGAACGATGGCCTCTGTATGCGTAATGGCCGGGTTCGCGATAGTTATTACTTGAGCATCGACAAGGTTGACTCTGAATGACACAGTCATCTGACGGTCAGCGGCAGGCGCAGCGCCTCCGCTTGACGGTGTTATTGTAGACTCTTCAATGCTATCAGCAGTACTAGTCCTTGGCTCCGACTCGTCGGGTGACTCATCGCCATCTTCTTCAACAACTGGCTCCTCTGTAGCGAAAGCCGAATTGGCAAATGATTGCAAAGCTGACAAGTAGTCCAGGGCAAGTATTATTCGTGGGCTGTCGATGGTCAGCATCGCAATAAGATGATTGTTCGGTCCTGGAGTCATGGAGACGCTGGCCATGAACTGTTGCTTGACATCGTTATTGATCAATGACATGATCTTTCGGAATTTGTTTGTATCTTTATTCCGACTATCGCGAATGGAGAGTGAGTGGATGAGAAGCTCAGACTCCAGGGAGCCATCGGTCAACATGCGCAACTTGACACGCGTGTCATTGAGTGAGAACTTGGATAGACTAGCATCTTCCAAGCGACCGACTGGCGCATCGTCGTTCGCAAGGATGAGCTCCAGTCCAACACTATCCACCTTGAAGATCATATCAAGCCGGACCCACGTCTCGTCGTTAGGGCTTGCTCCTGGTGCTTCTGTTTCTTGAGCTTGCCTAGTCTGGACTGCCCTAGTTTCAGCTTCCCTAGTGGGGTCTGTCACGGATGAGGGAAGTGACTCCAAGGCCTCTAGTTCTTGTTGTTCAGTATCAGTCGCGAATGCGCTGGGAACCCTCTTTGACAAATCCAACAAGAATCTGAGCTGTTTCTGCGATATTCTAAGGTTAATGGGGGACAGCGACCCCTCAACTTCCATGTCCGGTCGGGGATTGTCTTGCTGATGCTCGAGGTAGCAGATACTGAATTCCAGGTTGACTTTCTGGATCATTTCCAGCTCCTCTGCGGTGCCTTCGTCGTAGTGGAACTTTGAAGTCAAACGGATGTTGCGGATTCCGGAGGAGATGAGGTTGACAGCAGGGCCATCTTTATCATTCTCATCGAGAGGGACAAAGGTATTCTTAGCGTAGATCTCACCCAGGTGAGCAGTCACTGTATCATGGGGAAGATCTTCCCTCATGGCGCCTGGGAAGACCAAAATTGGAGTCATAATCACAACATCAAAACGCATTCTGGAGGCATTTTCTTGGAGCTGATTGGCCTGGTTAGCTGCAGCTTGCCGGGCAGCGTTGAAGATAGCCTGCATCTTGCCGAACTTGACCAGGAAATTGATTATCTTGCGATAAGGCTCTTCTAAGAAATTTATTTTCATCGAGCCTGATCGGAGGAAGACTTCGGAGTCATATCCCGGGTAAGTTGTACTCTCAGGATCAAAAGTCTCATATTTGAAATCCGCAAAATTCTCGCCTTCAATGGTTAAGAGCCGGCGAAGATCAGAGTTCTCTGAAGCTCCTGTATTGACATCGTCAATCAAAGTCAAGCTACCAATGCGAGACTGTATGAGCATAGTTTTGTCTACGAGCGAGATGCCCACGTCGGCTGTGTTGAGACTCAGAGTAGCCAGTCTAACACCATCATTATTGAGAATGAGAGCTATACTTTTCAAGTCGGCTTTGATGCGGATCTTTCCACCTTGCTGAGGCTGTTCCTGAACAGTGCTGGTGTCCTGGTTCGTCTCACTTGACTGAGTAATCTGATTGTTCGGCTGTTCCGGGTTCGTAAACGTCAGTAGAACGAAGTCAAGCAGTGTCAAGAGTGTCTTCCTCGTTACGACAAGGTTGATGGTGGAAACTGATATATCAAGGTTCATCGCTACACCTTCGTACGTCGACTGGAAAACAGGAGACTCCGGCTTAACTCGAACGAACTTTAGATGGAAAAGGTCCTTGTCTTCGTCGGCATCGAAGCCCTTGGAGGATAGTATCCTTTTGAACTCTGGAACTGGGTTCTCTTCAATGTAATCATCGACACTCAAAGATTTCAGCACAACTTCGGCAACCATGTCAAATGGCCGCATATAGTAGTCCAGCGCAAACCCTTCGGCAACCAGCTCAACCAACAAATGGTCGCGGAGCGGATCCTTCGGATCGGAGCGAGATAATGAGCCACGAAGGCGACCGACCGTGAATTTGAATTCGAAGTCCCGGCGATGTATGTTGGTTGGTTTGTCAACGCTCTTGCTCTGTTCATCGTTAGACTCATCATCAGAGTCTTCGTCAACATTTGGAAGCTCTCTCAGAATGGACGGTTGGAACGAGGAAGATCTTGCCCTGTTACCAGAGGCAGTGGTTTCTTTCGTCGTATTGGCGGTATTGCTCGGCGCGCTACCATCGTCGAAGCTGGGGATCGCAATGTCGATCAGCTTCATGAGACCTTTATACTTAGCATCAGACATTGACGCATGCAGTTCTGGAAGGTGACCGGAGATGCGAGTTCTGGTGAGCTCAGTGACCTTTGGCACAATACACATTTCTAGGACAAAATCAACATTGATGCGGTCAATGATGTGCAAGTTCCGGGTCTGGACATCCGTAATTAACTGCGCCTTGGTGGTTTCAATGCCGGGTCCAATAAGGACCTGAGTAGAGTCCAACTTGATAAGAAATCTGTCGTAGAGAAGGTGCTCGAGCTCCTTATAATCACCTTCCTCGTACTGCCGCTTCTGCTTCGATTGAAGATCTCTCATTGTCTGCCGATCAACGAGTTCGCTATTGACACTAATGTGACCAGCGTCGAGAATTAAACAGAGTGAGCTCTCTTGCGTAATACTCTCAGGAACAATAATCAGAGGCGCATGGATATCAAACTGCGCGTCAACCTTCTTGTGCTCCTCTAGAGCAAACTCCAAGCCCGCTCGGGTTTGCTGTCGGATGCCTTCCACGGTGGCACCTGCTGTATCCAGGAGGGCTCCAATTGACTCCATATGTCTCTCTGGCGGTTCGAAGAACTTGACAACCTCGACGATAAACCTCGGATTGTAGATGACCTCAATACTCTTCATTTTGACCTTCACGACCGAATCGGCGTCGCTTTCAAGAGGGTTCTTCTCGAGTTCCAAGTGGAACAAGCCGTCCCTGTAGTCAGAAGCATCATCGCTAGCGTCATACTCCAGCTGACTGTCAGAAGCTTGGGAGAGGCGGTTCTTCGGTTCTGGCAATGAATCTTTGACCTTGACGATCTGCGGGAAAAGACTCCCTTCGGTTGTACCATCATAGACTCGCAAGCCACCAAGGTTGAGATCGATGAAGAAGGAATCAGGTCGCTGCAGGGCTTTGGCTCTGAAGTTGTCAAACACGAACTGCATGATTTCGTTCGCTTTGCCGTGAGGGTCACGTTTCAATGTAAAGCTTCCAGCTCTCAGACCAGCATTTACCTGCAGCTTCACCCAGTCCCTTGGGACGTCAACGCTGTCCGCAATCGCCTTTTTCTCATCCCAGTCAATAGCATTATACAGTTCCTGCCGCTGTTCTTCGGTCATGGTAGTTTCCTCGGATTCCTCCTTCTTGCTGCCCCAGAACCATTCTGACCAGGTCTGCTGCTGCGCAGGCTTCTTGACACCTACATTCTCCTTTCTTAGCTGATTCCTTGCCAGCGATCTCCAGAAACGAATATCTTCGTAGCTGAGCTTTCTTTGAAGGCGCTCGTAGTTTTCAGCGTCTGCGCCTGTCAAGGTTTCTTCACGCTTTTTCTTCTTGAACAAGTCAATGTAGGCGATGCGATCATCTCGTCGTTCCTTGATGTAATCCCAGGTCCAACGCCTATTCCGTTCGTGGATCTTGCTAAGTACAGCCTCCCCAGCAAACCTCAGCCAAGCACGGGGATCCTCCTTGGGTCTGCACTTTGGCTGGAACTTCCTGTATTCCTGGTGTCGGATGAAATAATGGAAGAGATCGACGAGCATCAGCGCATCGCGATACTGGTGGTCGTCAAGGACGAAACTGAGTTCATCAAAGAGCAATCTCGCTTTGATCGCTGCCCTATCATGCCCCCCAGACTTGTCCATTTCTAGACCAGCACGTCCGCTGACTGGCCGAAGCATGAACTGAACATTTTCTTCGCTATCAATGCCTGACCTGAGCTTCTCGATTAACTCCGCATGGCCAATTCCCTGTGCTTCTGCGCCTATGTCGGAACCCCGACCTGTACCCAGAAGGTTTGCATCGGTGTTCCAGTAGATTGCAAGGGCGCCGAGGATTGCCAGTTTATGGGTCGTGCCGGAGGTCGACTGGATGAAGGTGGGATTCCACTCGGAGTCGGTGCTGACTGCACTGAGCTCTTTCAGTGTCACACCGAGGGCGAAGGGGTGGTCAGGCGAAGAAATCGAGTCCTCGTAGCGAAAATGCACGTTTTTGATGGATATCTGGAGGTTGTCGACAACGGCCGTTACCAGGCTCTGGGTGAAACTTTGGTTCCGACGCTGCTCTTCCTGGCTCATGCCCTCTGTATTGCGTTCCTTGAGCATTTCCGCGCTCTCAATCTTTTCCATCTTCAAGTGATGCGCCCGCCGCTCCTCCTCCTCCGGGTCGTAGTCCTGATCTTCCTTGGGAGCCGCAAGCAGAAACACATCTTCAATATCAACTTTGACTGGCTTCCCTCGTAGATTTGACCAGGGGATCGACAGGGTGAGCTCTCCGACATGTCCCTCTACAACGTTGAGCGGCAGGCGTAATTGATCGAGGGCCTCTCGTCGAAGCTCCAGGTTATGAAGCTTCACATCGCCAGACCAGATTCCGATGTTCAACTGCCTGCCATCAAAGTTCTTGATGTACATGCCCAGGGTGCGGTTGAGCAAGTTGGCGACGAGACCCTCCAACATGGTTGCAGGATGCGGCCGTAACCCGGGCCGGGGGCTTCTGCGTGGAGACCGTTAAGGGAGGATAGGACTATTCGTAACTGATCGTTTAGGCCAGCCTGATTAGATGAAGCGCAGAGTCAGCATGACATTGATCGGAGAACTACAGATTGGTGGGGAAACGAAGGGCGATCGAGCAAACAAATGAAAAGAATGGGAAAAGACCTTTCAATGATGCGCGAGCTCTAGTTGCACACGCAGATAATAGAGAAAAGAGCCATGCAGAAGGTTGGCTCAGTACGCACGCGATACAAATTGTGGGCGGCAAGTGCAAGCAGTGGGCTAACAAAAAGTGGAAGTATAGATAGTGAATCAAGTGCGGAGAAAACGAAAGAGGAACGTGGAAGGCTAGCTGACGTATTCCCGCGGCAGTCAGGTTAGACGGAAAAGTGGTAAGGGAGGGGAGGGGGAATAGTAAGTAGACGAAGGTTGGGTATCAGGCTTGACCCAGTAACCCAATTGTGAAAGAGTGGAGGACGAGACTTGTCTCTAGATAGGCGAGTGTACCTGGGAAGGCATGTGCTGGGCCGATGATAATACGAAGGAAGAAACTAATCACTAATAGGGGGAGGAAGAGGGTGGATAGAGCGCTGCGTAAGTAAACGCCGTGACGCGGAACGGAGCAGTTACGGAGACCCTCTCTCTCTCTCTCAGTCACTGTCTCTCCGTAGAATCGGGCCCTGAGTGACGTCGGTGCCTCTGCCATGGCATGGCCAGAGCTGAGAGGAGCCCTTCCCTTTCGGGATTAGCCGTCTAGGGCTGCAGCCCTCGTGGCTGAGTCAGCCCGCGTGGTGGTTCGGACCAGTCATGCCTGAGGCATTGTCTATGACACCTGCGGAGTTGGTGCTTGTAGTGTGCCGTACAACGACGTGACCGCACCTCAGCATAATATCACCTCATTCATTCGTGGTCTCCAGGATCGAACTGCTTCCCCGGCCTGACATCTCCACTCCCACGAGTCAATCTCGACCATTTTCTGGGTGAATACCCTCATCTCCGCTCTTGCACCTTTTTCTCCTTCTTCCATCAGCTCAATTGGGTGTGTATACCCCCGAATTGCCTGCTTCCGAGCTCTTCCTGCCTCCACCTGCTAACCGCGGATATCGGGAAAAAAAATCAGCTGTCTAGACGACAATGCTGTACAGAACCACTGCTGCCCGCTCTGTCCTCAGGGCTATCTCGAGCTCCAATGCCTCGGTCGCCCGCTCGGCCCTGTCCAACAATGTCTTCAAGGCTCCCTTGACCTCTTCCGCTCGTTTTCCCGCTCGCCCGACCACCTCCCCCAGCCTCGCTCTGGCTGCTCGCAAGCCCGTCACCACCGCTCTTGTCCGCTATGCCTCCACGTCGGCTAAGGTGAGATTGAACTGAAGCAAACTGAGTACTATAATTGAGTCAATTGCTGATCAAAGAACCACAGGAAGGCGAGGAGCCCGACATGATGGCCGGTATCAAGACCGAGGCTGTATGTGTTTTCCATTCTTCCCCAGATATCGCTTCCTCTGCGGGGCAATCTAGCCTCTCGGCGGCACATCTGGGACCCAATGCGCTAATGAGTCTCTTTCCGATGTATAGAAAGTCATCAAGGACACCTTCAGCCTGGAGGCCGTCCCCAAGGAGGCCCTCTACCTCGGAATGGCCGGTGTCATCCCCTACGTCGCTACTTCCCTGCAGACCGTCGCCCTCGCCTATGAGGTCAAGACCGCTGCTTTGGCCGGTGATGGTCTGATCTTCTCCGGCCAGAGCGCCGAGTTGATGCTGCACATGATCGAGCCCATCCAGGTCGGCTACGGTGCTGTTGTAAGTAACCCATGAGCCATCTTGAAACCCTTCAACAATCCCCCCTGCCCAAGGAGAAACCCTCAAAAGCTAATCAACTTAAACAATAACAGATCCTCTCCTTCCTCGGTGCCATCCACTGGGGTCTCGAGTGGGCCGGCTACGGCGGCAAGTACGGCTACAAGCGCTACGCTGCCGGTGTTATCGCCCCTGCCGTCGCCTGGCCCACCCTGCTGCTCCCCGTTGAGTATGCCCTGATCTCTCAGTTCCTTGCCTTCACCTTCCTGTACTACAACGACGCTCGTGCCGCTGCTTCCGGCCGCGCCCCCGCCTGGTACGGCATGTACCGCTTCGTCCTCACCTTCATCGTCGGTGCTAGCATTGTTGCCAGCTTGATCGGCCGTGAGCAGATCGCTGGTACCCTCAGCACTGAGCACACCATCAAGGACAAGATCAACGCTCTGATCTTCCTGCAGAAGAAGGAGAAGGAGGAGGTTGAGGCCCGTCGTCGTGCTGAGCTCGAGGATGCTGAGTAAGGGATTCAATTAAATGATATCAGTGTTGGTTGGTTTTCTTATCCCTGAAAAGTATATAGTACAAGGGCAATCGGAGAATGGGGGATCATCTGGACCAAGCTGTCTGTGGCAGCATGGTTGGGGAAGTGTGATACAGTAGAAGTCATGTCGGGTTTTTATGTGATGTAGTTTTATACTACTACTATTTTTGGTTGATGTTTTCTTGTAGATTACATGCGAAATCAACAATGCCAGCAGCTGCTGGAAGTTTCATTTGTTCGTGCCATTCGGATACTACCCAATTTTTCCTTTGGTCATCTGCCATTCCTAAGTCAATAGAGATAATAGTACTCCGCATTTAGTAATGTGTATTGAGGTCCTCATCACTCTGATGAGCTATCAAAGGACTAATAGTAGTTATTGGCAAAAGCAGTCTCACTTCAATGATTAGCACAATTGCCAGGACCGACAAATCCACCCTACAACATGATGAAGGATTGACTCAGTGCCAGTTCAATGAAGGTCTGGCCAACTTCCCCCCCCCGGAGATTTATATATATAAAAAAAATAGCAATTGAGGTCATGTGATAGCGCCTACACCAAACCCAATCCGAGCATTTACTATATTACTTACTAAATAGTATCTACAGTAGTACCAAGCACTGTAAGCAGCAAAGACTGCATACAGGCGAAAAATAAAATTAGGCAGGGAGTGGGGCCCCGCCAGCAAGGGTAGTTTGAAAGGACACAGTTGGGTTGAAGAAGCTCCCATCCAAATGCGGCCGAAACCGACCTACCTGACCGTTCAGAAAAGGAAAGTAAGACGAGGGAGGCGTGCCCAGGCAAGTCGGAAATCCGGGTAGCTTTCTGCGGTACTATAAAACAAACGGTATACCGTATGCTTGACTAAATGCAGGTAAGTAAGGTAATAGATAAGGGTGCGCGGGCGCGCCCAACGAACAACGAACAGCAGGTCTGGAATGTGGCATGCAGGGTGGACGGACGGCATTTGCTTCTGCAGTGTCGGGTGTTCCGAACGAATCCGAGTCGTGGGATATAGAATGTGTTGTGCCTGTGATAGGTAGTAGTATACAGTAGTTAGGTGAGGTAGTAGGAAGAGTTGAGACTGGGTTACTATGGCGTGTGATACGGGGTGCGCTGCTTGTGCAGATCAAGAGCCAACAATGACGACCGGAACGGGGAGGTACCGCGTTGAAACCTGTTTCGGTGGGGGAAAGGAGGGAGTCTGACGAAGTGCGTGTGGTGGACGGCCGCCGCGGGTCTGGATCCAGTTGTTGCTGTGCTGTGTGTAGGTACGCCTTAGGCATGCATACACATGCTTCCCATCGGGATCTTGTAGCAATAGGTTAAATCTGGTTAGGGGTCCTTTGTTTCGGCGGACAGGGTATATTTCTTCGATGGGAATTGGTAGGGATGTGTCGGCCCGCCCTTTTGGGGCGAGGCGAGCCCGTGGTCCAGGGCGATAGAAACGGATGTGGCTGATTTGATTGCGGACCATGGATGATGGGCTTTCCCCATATCAACTTTGCATCATTGGAGATGATGATATAGATGCTTGGCAATTGAGCTTTCGGGGCAAATAGTTCTAGTGAGGTCATACTCGAAAGGCGAATGATTACATAGATGACCATATTGGAAGCTGAACCTGTTGATCTTCTCCGCTCAGCTTGGGGAGGACCACAACGGTTCCTGGGGCAGTTGCTTCGTATACCTGAATAGGGATAGATGGCAGATCAATGTCGTGGCTAGTTGATGATGGGCGGGCTTGGGGTTTCTGCTGGCTTGTTTGCTGTCTTGCTTGCTTGCGTTGCTTGGGGACCATTTCGTGTCGGTGGGTGTGATTTATTGAGGTGGTCCCTAGGAAGGTCAAGTCCGGTCGAAGACGTCACCACCCGGGAGTTAGATTTGGGGGCGGCCCTGCCGTGGCGGTTCACTATACGGACGGAGAAATGTAGGCAGGCGGCATGATTCCCATTTCCATGGACGCATACTGAGCCTATCGTTTAATATTCTCCAGGGAGGGATAGGGAAGTCTGAAGCGATTTGAATTCATCGATGGATCGGTATCGTGGTTCTCAGGTTGGATAATTAATCCTACTATATTTTGGCGCGTCTGGACTGGTCCGAGCAGAAGAAGAGTATTGGAGTTAGCCGGAACGCCAGGACGATAGCCGGGAGAATTGGTCCCGTGGCCCCCCCCAGCCCAGCTGCTAGGCTTCCCTTCACCCCAGCCAAGCCGAACCGAGTATCCGGATTGTAAAATTTCTCCGTAAATCACAGGGCCGAACGAGGTCGCCTCCCCCATGTCTCTCTGCCTAATGGAGAATGGTACAGCGGCACGCTAGAAGGTCGCCAGTCAGGGGAGCCGACGGTCTAGAAGGCCGAAGTAAAATGTGATTGCAAATGGAGGGAAGGGGACAACACATCCATTGAGATGGATGGCAAGTAGTCACTTGATCTCTACTAGTATGTACGGTTGGTTTACGTGCGTGCTCCCGTGCTTGAGAATCGGGGTGAACTGTGAAGGGAACTAGATACTACTATTACTACTCAGAATGGATTGAAGATCTCAAGCGCAACAGCACAGCAGGGACTATCCGAAAAGGAGAATTATCCATTCGGTGTTCAAGTGATCAGAAAGAAATAGAGTAAAAAAAGGAAAGAATATTGGAGCCAGGGGTCGAAAGGCCCTGGTCTAGATCGTCGATTGCTTGAACAACGCGTGAAAAGGGACTAGCGGGAGAAAAATGGACATTGTCATGTGCTCGATCGACAGGAATCTAGTAATCCATCTAGTCAATGTAGAAGCGCAGAAACCCGTAGTAGCGGAGTCGGAGACTCACCCGCAGAGCCCCTCTTTTTTTCTTGCGCGTTTCGCCTTCAAGTCGCGACATTATCCATTCAGCGCCGACCCCGCCGTTCTGGTTGTTGAGTCGGGATCCTTGGCAGGGATTGTTGTCAAGGGGGGCGGGTGTTGAAGGGGCGCAAGACGAGAAGACGGTCTACGGTCTCTGGGGCAGATGGACCGGAGATCCATTGGGTTCTAGGGATGCCGATTGTAGATCGTCGAGGGGACATGTCGGTATACAGGCATTCATACATTGCATCCTGAATTGTCCAGTCGTTTAGGTCGGGCAGGCTTACGTATCGATGTACGATGCATTGATCTGGCGTCTGCGGTTTTTTCTTGGTAATCAAACAAGGAATCGGAATGATAGATCAGAATCGCGATTGATTGTTTAATGTCACAATTGAATATGGGATTGGGCGCGAAACAATTAATCACACCAATGAGACCAGCGACATCGGGAATAACAACAATAATAAGACCAATATCAATCAATATCACTATGAATATCAACATCTGCCATGTTTCACATCGCAATCTGAGCAGGCCGGTCAGCCCTTAATTGCTTGTTTTGGACCCAATGGAATCCTGGATGTTCTTTTCCATATGGCTCCGTGTTCGCGGGTGGTTCTAGGCACAGACGCTAGCTAATGCGGGTGGAGGGATTGTCCTGGAAACAGAAATCCATGGAATTTTTATGGGTCCGCCATGAGTGTCATGTGGGAGTCCAGCGACTATTCTTAGCGCTTGTCTAACTCTGGAATACTACCTACTCGGTCTGCTGGGTCGGATACCTTGCCGATGAGGGAGAATGAGGAAGAGAAAGAGGAAATGAATGATCTGTGAATTGTGAAACCTTGTCGGCACTATATCCGTGCTTTTGGGTCGAGATAATATGTTGTGACAGCTGGAGATGATTACATTTGCATAACGTTTCTCATTTTACAATCAATCAATGATCTATCAACGTCTACCGTAGTATTTTGAACTCTCAACAAAAGAGAAATCGATTGAAAAAGAAAAAAGAAAAAAATGAAAAAGGTTCAATGGAGAAATTGGAATCCATCCACACCTGCCAGGTACTACTGTATTCAGTTGTATCTACTCCAGAATCCGTAACGCCGATGGAAGCCCACCGAATAAGCTAAAGAGATAAGAATGGCGAGTGACCAGGGGTAAACCTTCCTAAAATCACCCAGAAGGCATGGTTGCCATCCGCGTAAGGGGGGAGACCGGAGAACCTTCACAAGTGTTCGACAAGAAAAGACCAACGGGGGGGGCATGAGGGAGGGGCGGGTGTCAATGCTGACGACGGGCAGTGGTCGTCTGATCAGAAAAAAAATGATGAGAAGGGCCCAGAAGGGGAGGAAGGAAGGCAAGATTAGTGGGAAGTGGAAGGGGGATTTGCCCATTGATTGCTGGCTGCGGTTTTCCCAGTCCTTCCTTTTTCCCTTTTTTTCCTTTTTTCTTTTCCCTCTTTTTTTTTTCTTTCCCCCACGCCCCCACTTCTCCGCCATGGACGAACGGGGATGCGCATCCAGCAGATTGCCAGATTGGGTACTCGCCGCTAGTCCATTGCACCTGCTCTTCTGACCCTCTTGTCTGTATCTGTATTGGTATTGAGCGTCCTGCGGACCCCCCCTCCTCCTCTCTCCTCCTCTACTACCTCCTTCTAGGTTTCCCCGGGCTAGTCCAGTCGATAGCAGCAGGTACTGGTACGGTACTAGCGATCTAGGTCGGATGGACTCGACTCGACTTGGACCTTACTTTCCGGCAGGAATACCACCTAGACCCAGGGGATTCCCCGGAACAAGCTATGCATGACCCAAATCCTATCTGGGGGGTGAATTTTTTAATAATTTGATTGAAAAGGGAAAAAATTGAGGGACTACCACGCAAAGAATAAAAATAAAAATAAAATAGAAATTTAGGGAATAAATTATCAGCAACCCCGAGGGACAACGTGAACAAGAAGGAAAAGGTCCCACCGAGTTGGATAAAGAGTCTGCCTCATCCTGCCTCCAGCATCTTTTGAGCCAGATTTGATTGATTCCCTTCCGTTCTGTTCTCCCTGCCCTTCCCTTCTTCCCGTCGCCACACCCCAATAAACCACACCCGGTCTTATCCTCTCTCTCTCTGCCTCTCTGTGACCTCATACCTCTGCGGGACACTCTCCTCTCAACTCTCTCCAGCCTTTCAGCGGTCTACCCACACCTGGCGCGTCCTCTTGTTTCTCCAGATTCGTCTCGGATCGCTCTCCACCCAATCGGTTATCACGCATACGTCACCATCCGTCGCGCTGGGTCCTTGCTCTCTTACTTGCTCGCTGCTCTCATACTTGCACACTCTGGATCTGTACTACTTGCGCGCTACTACTGGCCTGCTGCAACTGCCGCCACCGGGCCTTCTCTTTTCGTAGTTCCAGCCTTACCTACTATTCCCCTCTCGTCCGTCTTTTAAGTATCGGACTTGGGACGTAATCCTGTTTTCCTCCCTCCTTTCTATTTCAATACCGCCACGATTTCTCCAATCGGTTCTTCCCTTTTTCAGGCTCTGCCTTCCTGGTCACTTCTATCCTCCCTCTTTAGGAAATCAGAAGTCGGAGCCTCAAAAGCCCCTCCCATCGCACAAATGCAGAAATCACCCACCATCACTTTTGACTCTATCAGTCTTCCCGATCCTCTCAACCCCCCCACCAAGAAGACCAGAACGCCACCAATCACTACCTCCAAAATGAGGAACCCTTTCGATATGGCCGACCTGGACTCCGCCGTCGAACAGGAAGAACCTCAGCCTTTCATGAACATTCACGCCTACCAGTCGCATGATGGCAATCGCTCCCTCTTACAACCCAACGAAAACCGCCACAGTATGAAGGATCGCTTTATCGGTGCCATTGACACTGGTACCACCAGCTCCCGTTTCATCATCTTCGACTGCACTGGTGTTCCTGTGGCCAAGTACCAGATGGAATTCCGCCAAATCCACGAGAAATCAGGGTAAGTCTTTTGAGAAAGTTCCACCTGGTCCGTCTTCATCACGCTTATGTCTATTCGCTACTTCTTAGATGGCACGAACAAGACCCCTTCGAACTTGTCGATTCCGTATACACCTGCATTGAAGAGGCTATGAAGACCTTCCTCGCACTCGGCCACTCCCGGGACGATATCGAGGCTATTGGTATTACCAGTCAACGTGAGACAACCGTGTGCTGGGATTGGGAGACTGGCGAGCCTCTACACCACGCAATCGCGTGGCCAGATACCAGAACCACTGGGCTGGTTCGAGAACTCAAGACAAAGGAGGGTGCGGATGAGCTGTCAAACATTTGCGGCCTTCCCCTATCGACCTACCCTTCCTCTGTCACCCTCATGTGGATGCTCCGCAACCTCCCCGAGGTTAAGAGGGCATATGATGAGGGCCGCCTTGCTTTTGGTACCATCGACACCTGGCTGATATATAACCTGAACGGTGGCCCGGAGGGCGGCCGGCTGGTGACTGACGTCACCAACGCCTCACGAACCATGTTCATGAACCTCGAAACGCTTGATTACGATGATAAGTTGTTGAAATTCTTCGAAATTGATCGGAACAAGATTAGACTGCCCAAGATTCTCCCTTCGTCTGACCCGGAGGGCTACGGATGGGTTAGAGACGGCCCGCTTGAGGGCATTCCTATCACAAGCTGTCTCGGAGATCAGTCTGCAGCCTTGGTCGGTCACTGTGCCTTCACGCCTGGATCTGCGAAGAACACCTATGGCACGGGCTGTTTCCTTCTCTACAACGTTGGTGAGAAGCCAGTTATCTCCAAGCATGGCTTGCTTGGCACCGTGGGCTTCCAGCTGGGCAAGCACCGCAAGCCAGTGTATGCCTTGGAGGGCAGTGTCGCTGTTGCTGGAAGTGGTATCTCTTTCCTGATGAACAACATGGGTTTCTTCCGTGATTCCCGCAAAGTCAGTGAGGTCGCTGCGACCGTCCCCGACAGTGGCGGCTGTGTCTTCGTGACGGCCTTCAGTGGTCTGTTCGCACCCTACTGGATTGATGATGCCAAGGGAACCATCTGTAAGTTCACCACGCTTTCTTTACCATTTGTGGGAGAAAGATCTTTACTGACTCTATCTCAGTTGGTATCACCCAGCACACCCAGCGTGGACACATTGCACGAGCCACCATGGAAGCGGCCTGCTTCCAGACCAAGGCCATCTTGGATGCCATGGAGATGGACAGTGGTCACAAATTGTCGGAATTGGCCGTCGATGGCGGTATGAGCAATTCCGATATTTGCATGCAGGTAGGTTACTCACATGACTCTTGTCACCTGACGAGCGGAAACTAACCCCCCTTCTTAGACTCAAGCCGATATCATTCAGATTCCCGTTGAACGCCCGGCCATGCACGAGACGACGGCGCTGGGAGCCGCGATCGCAGCTGGCTTTGCAGTCAACATCTGGAAGGATTTCAGCGAGCTCAAGGACATGAACCGGGCCAACCGCACTACCTTCCTTCCCCATGCCTCTCCAGTGCAGAGCAAGAAGATGTACCGTCAATGGAGCAAGGCCGTCGAGATGTCGCGTGGCTGGCTCGACACGAACGAGTCGGAAGAAGAAGAAGAAGAAGGACAGAACGGTGCATAGTATCCTTCTTAATCCCGCGTCATAGAACGGTGGCTTTGTGTCTTTTTAAACATTTGATTCAGCGATTTAGCGTCTTGATTTTCTCATTGCTTTGCACTCGGGGTTACGGCATGGCTACTAGGGTCCGGGGTTCGGCCTGGCACAGGTTCAATTTCTCTGGGGATACCTGGATTCCACATCAGGTACATTATCGGTATATATAGCTGCACGGTACTTACCTTATACATATTCATGTCATTGATATTTCTTTCAGATAGATATAATAGGAATGACGTCTGATGATGAACATAGTACTGAACATAAGATGTAGCTACAATTACCTATCCGAAACTACTAGATGAAGAACATAGATACATCGGCATCACACTCGACTTCTACAGTCCAGTAAAAGAGTATAAAAATATTGAAGTTGACCTGCCCCAACATGAAGCATAAGATTCATAGTGATATGTATGTATGGTATGGTATCACAACTAACCCACAAAAACAATAGCAAGAAGTAAAAGACACCTCTGATCCAAACCATAACCCAGCATAGTAGAAAATAATGTATATAATCAGTGTTAAGGGCAAGTATCTATCTACCTCCCCTCCGCTCTCTCCACCAACTGATCCTCCAACCCCATAGGCTCCCACATCTCCTTAGCCTTCTTATTCTGCACCCAGACCACATCACCCTGCACGAACGCCACAACACCTCCCTTACCCGTCGCGCTAGCCGTAATGCGGAACAGAGGCTGACCGTTTTGCGGATGCGCTTCACGCAACGGCAGCATGATGAGGCCTTGTTCCATGCACCAGGATTCAAGAATATCTTTGAAGGCGACTTCTTCGATGATTTTGGGTTTGCGGGATTGTTGTTGTTGTTGTTTTTCTTGTTCTGCCGCTGTTGTCGTGGCGGTGGGTTTGGTTGTTGAGGGGTGTTCGGTGGTAGATGAAGGAGGAGGAAGTTCAGCAGCGGCACGGTCGCCGAGTTGGGAGGCGAGGTCCATAGTTTGGAGACCCTTGTTCCATTCATCATCGACGATAGTGAGGTCGTTGATATCGGTGGGGATTTGGGTGCGCCACCAGGTGAACCATTCGGCGACTTCTTCGTAGTTGGGGTCGTTGGTGAGCCAGATGTAGAGGATGTTGTGCCATTTCGGGAAGAATTCGGCGACGAGGAGAAGACCCATGACGTTGAGTTTAAAGAAGTCTTTCCATTTCAGGACGTTTTCGAGGGCCGTGAGGTCTTGGTCTTGCGGGTTGACTTCGAAGTCTTCGCGGAGGTGGCGGCCTAGGCGGGGGAGGAGGTGGTTGCGGAGACAGATGTCGAATTCGGAGCCTAGGGCGTCGCGCCAGAGTTCGATGCCGTTGATCAGCCCCTTGTTGAGGTCCCAGCTGTCGAGGACGACGCGGAATTTGCGCTTCGCGTCGGAGAGTAGGCCCGTGGGTTGCTTGGGGTTGGTGTGCCGCTCGTCGAGGTATTGGAGCCAAGTGAAGAGCCACCAGGGGAAGCGGGAGCTGTTGGAGGATGAGTTGTGGTGACGGCGGCTGCTGCTTCGGGGTTTCCATTCTTTCAGGCCGTTAGAGAGCTTCGGTACGACGAGTTGGTCGAGGACGTTGGTGTAGACGAAGGGGGGGAGGAGCTCTTTCCAGGCGACTATAAGGGAGGTTGCTGGGGCGGGCTCGTATACGTCCCAGTCGTTGAGGAGGGCGGAGCGCACGCGGGGCAGCCATAAGGTGTAGATCATGGTCTCATAGGGGGAGGTGGATTGTCGCTGGGTGTGCTCGTTGTTGGCCTTTCGAAGGAGTAGGGGCTGGAGACGACGGAGGTTGGATACGAGGAACGTCGGGTCCCTGAGAGGCTCCCATTCTTCCATCGCTTGGCGGAAAAGAGGATGGATGGCTGCGACGGCCGTTTCTGGCAGTCGGTATTCATCAATCTCGCTGCGGTACTTGATCTCCATGGACTCCAGCTTATCGGTGATTTCGTCGAACTTTGCTCGAGTGTCTTCCTTCTGGAAGATCTCTAGTTGCCCGATGGCTGTGACGAGCTCAGACAGCTGGTCGACCTTGAGCTGATTTGTATCAAGTTGTTCCACGACCTGGGCTTCCTCTAGCTCGATGTATTTTTTCCGCTCTGTCAGACCCTTCCACTCGTCTGCAAACGCCTCTAGGTCGTTCCGAGCACGTTGCGCGATTTTCCAGGCTTCTCCCTCGCCTTGAGTAACGAATGTTTGCGGCGTCATCAGACCAGCTGTAGACGTGAGCACCTTCTGGTCCTTCCCGGTCGCATCGATAAGCGACTTTAGCACGTTCGGAACTTCCAAGCCCTCCATATCCTTTTCCATCTCGCGCGCAGTTCGGAACTGGGGCTTCGCGCGAGCCACTGGTGTCCCGGTCCCGCTCCGGCCCTCTCGTTTACGCTCCTCCTTCTTTTTCCGTCGCCTCTTGCGCTCTTCATCTGAGCTATCCTCGACGGACTCGCCCCGGAGAGCTGCTGCCCGCTTTTCCTCTTCTCGCGCTTGCTTTGTCTTCTCACGGACCGCACCCAGACCGGCACCTGTAGGACGAGCCTGGGCCTCGATCGGGTTGACGATACCTTGACCGGAAGAACCCAAACCCTGTCCCTCGACGTAACCCATCTTGGCCATCATGCGCGCGGCGAAGGAGTTGCCTCCGGACATTCCTTTGCCAGCATTGTTGCCTCCGCCTTTCATCGCTGACTGCGCGGTGTTGTTCCGAGGATTGCGACGAGAGCTTCCTAGCCCGCCGTGAGAAGGAGGCGACTCAGAGCGAGACGACGCGCGAGCAAAACCGCGAAAGCCCATGGTTGGGCGGTAATCTTCTTCTTCCTCTTCATCGGAGCTCATGTCGGCGATTTTGCGTTTCTGGCCGGCGTATGGCGAGGACGAGGGGGACTCCATGGCCGGGCTTGAGGACAAAAGGCGACACAAAGGAAGGAATCGAGATTCACGGCGAGGAAGTAGAGAGAAAGCCCGGCAGCATGACGGAGATCCTGATTGAGTATGAATGGTTGAAGCTAAAAGATGGTGGATCCAAATGCCGGGAAACTTCGGCGCGGGGAAATGCGCCCTCCGAAGAAACAAGCCGTTATGACGTTGAACTTCTTCATCTCTCCTTCTTCCTTCTTCTTCCTTTTTCCCTTCAGCAACTCTCCTCTCATCCCTCTAAACACCCCCGGGTCTATAGTAATAGTGCATCTTGCTCTGTTCCAATTATCGCTCACAATGGCTGCTTCCCTCGTCCGCACCTCTGCCCGTACGGCCCTGCGCGCCGGAGCTTCGGCTACTCCCAGAACTGCCGGCATGGCGGGCTTGACCTTTGCCCGCGGCAAGGCTACTCTCCCTGACCTGTCCTGTATGCATCCAGCTGCCATTCTCGAGACGCATAGATCTTGAAGTCACCGAACTGACTCCCTGTAGACGACTATGGCGCTCTCGAGCCCTCCATCTCCGGCAAGATCATGGAGCTTCACCACAAGAACCACCACCAGACCTACGTCAACAGCTACAACACTGCCATTGAGCAGCTCCAGGAGGCCCAGCACAAGAACGACATTGCGGCCCAGATTGCCCTCAAGCCCCTGATCAACTTCCACGGTGGTGGTCACCTGAACCACACCCTCTTCTGGGAGAACCTTGCTCCCAAGAGCGCTGGCGGTGGTGAGCCCCCGTCCGGTGCCCTGTCGACTGCCATCAACGACACCTTCGGCAGCCTGGAGGAGTTCCAGAACAAGATGAACGCTGCTCTTGCTGCTATCCAGGGTAGCGGCTGGGCCTGGCTCGTCAAGGACAAGCAGACCGGTCACATTGGCATCAAGGCCTACGCCGTAAGAATGCACCATGCATGCGAAGAAAGTATTTGAGTTGGCTAACGATTTCACAGAACCAGGACCCCGTTGTCGGTCAGTTCCAGCCCCTGCTGGGTATTGACGCCTGGGAGCACGCCTACTAGTAAGTGCACCTGACCCAACCCGTTGGAATCATCAGGAGCTAATATTGTCTATCTAGCCTCCAATACCAGAACCGCAAGGCCGAGTACTTCAAGGCCATCTGGGAGGTCATCAACTGGAAGGCCGTGGAGAAGCGCTTCTCCGCCTAAAGCTTTCTTTATGATATGAACTGTATATTGACGCGGCTTGATTAGCGATTGTGGATCTGCGTATTATGTGTACTATGGATTTGGAACTAATCAGGCTCAATCCGATGCCCTAATGCAAATTCCGTATTAATGGCACTCTTCTCTTCTTTTTATCCTCTCCGTAAACAAATAGACCCTTGTTCCTCATCAGCCACAGTGGCTGAAGCTCGGCAGGTGGCGGATGGCAGCTCCGTAACATCCGGTAAACGTAATACAGCGCCGATCATGTTTCACATTCGCTGCATCGCCGGCTTCATCTTCATCTTTATCTTCTTTTTGTCCTCCCATCTCCTCCGCTTCTTCCTCCATTCCTCCCCCCATGTCTGATGACAGTCCGGGAGAAAGGCGCGGCTTCCGGGCCTTCTTCGCCAATGCTCTCCGGCCCAAGAAATCCCGGCAAGTCTTGCGCAAGGGCTACAGCGCATCCACTCCAGACCTCCGAGCCGGCTTCAAGCGGCCCAGCACTACCAGCGAAGATGTCCCTCCGCTGCCCTCCCTGGCGCCATTGGAGGCACATCGCCTCAAATACCGAGAACTCAACGCCAACAAAGACACCCAGCTCGGTGAAAGCCGCGATCACACCGAACTCCTGCACGCCATCGGCGTCCAGGATCTCGATCCCTCAGACCCTTACGCCAACCGCGCCGATTCCGACAACCGTCCTCCTGGCGAGCCGGTAATCGCCAGTCTCCCCCCGATCCTCTGGGAGGAGATCTGCTCCTATCTCACGCCCGCAGACCAAGCCAGTCTCGCCTTCGCCAGCAAAACCCTCCTCTCCAAGCTCGCCCCGCTCCAACCCTGGCAAGCCCTCAACCACCCTTCCAACCGCGAATACCGCTCCGACTTCCTCGTCTCCCAAGATCGCTACCTCCCCCATCATCTCCTCTGCTTTCCATGCGCCCGCTACCACCGTCGCACCCAAGAGGGCCATGAGAAACTTCAACCCGCCCATGTCATCAATCCCCTCTTCAACTGCCCCAACATGCGCAACACCCTCCTCCCGCCCCCTCGTCACCGCATCACCCACGGCCGCACCCTCCCCTTCAGCTTCGTCCAACTCGTCATGCGCGCCCACAAATACTCCCCTTCCTACGGCCTCGCCCCGGAATCCCTCTCCCGCCGCTGGCGCCGCGATGACTGGTCCCACCACACCCGCTTCCACATCCACAAAGGCCACCTGCTAATGCGGGTCATCAGCACCCGCTTCGCAGACCCAGACCTTCCTCCCAGCTCGCAGCGTCTCCTCCTCTACTCCCGCGAAGACTACTGGCCGTACTTCTCCGCGTGCGCGCACTGGCGCGACGGCGAACTCATGAACGTGTGCAAATGTGCCCTCACTCATGTCCCCGCACCCCGCGACACCTCTGCCCTACAGGGCCTCGAACACCGCGCTAAGGATATCATGGCGCGGCGCATCCACAACCCTAACTCAATTGCCACCCTATGCGGGAAATGTCGTCCCATGCGCCGCTGTCCGGAGTGTCCGTCTGAATATCTCGTCGAGATCAAGTTAACCGAGGATCGCGCGGACCCACGCGCGTTGCACTTCCGACATGCGATTGTGGTTACGCGGTGGTGTGATCTGGGCGATGGGACGTCGCCGCGGCTGTCGAGGGAATGGGCAGCGTGTAATGGGTTGCTGGAGGGGTATGATTCGTTCCAGATGCTAGGGAAGCGGTCTATTTCGGGGATTTTCGAATCTTCGATTACGGATGATACGTTACCCGGGCAGAGGATTATATCGATGAATCCGAAGGGGAAGAAAAGGGGCGAGGATGGGACGGGGTGGTATTGATTTTTTTCCCCTCCTCAAAATTTTGGAGTTTTGGGTATCGTGTACGGGAGTTTTTTTTATATGGTTAGGTTTGCGGATTGCATTGGGTATGGCGGATAACGTACTACTATTACTACTCACATGGCATTATATAGATTGACACACTAAAGCAGGCTAGGGTAGGTTGGAATAGGCAGGACAGGACAGGACAGGGCAGGCGTGTATGGAGTATTTTACTATCTTGTTGCATTATTATAAAACGGTGTCTTTTTTACTGACTACTAAAAGTAGTTGGGAATCATGCATCAATCTGTCTAGATCTACATCTTCTTATTTGATTACAGATCATCGCATCTTACTACTAGAAAAGAAATGTATTATAGATCAACTATCTAGGAGGAGGAAATGTCCCTCCCACATCTCAGTAGGCGGTCTTTACTAGATACTACTAGTATTCTATCCACACTGGCTGGTAAATGCCCAATCACTGTATGATGAGATGGACTATATCTCAATGCAGTCCTTTTTCTGATACACTTGAATGCCACGCTCGAGTGGGTAGTATACTGCCTGTTATTGTTGGTGGCAAGTGCAATGACATGGTGTTTCACTGGATCACATGTTTTGGACTCGCCTTCTATCTGTATGGGTGTTGTGGTGGTTTGTAGGAATGCGAGTTCGTTACTATAGCTTAGGTTTGTTCTGTTGTTCATTGGATTATATATTATGGAAGGAACGGTGTACTAGTTGGTATGAACCGTTGCTTGAATTTCAAATTAAAATGAATGATAGTAATGTCAAGTATTGATAAAATCACCAAACAAGCACAAAATGATATCGTGTGCCAGCCAGATACCATGTGTATAGCAAGCAACAAAGAATTAGCAACCACCTCTAATGGCCCATAAATGAAAAAGTCATAAACGCGGTACTCTCTGCTGCGCATGCAATACTGGTACAAATCCGTGTCATCAGACATGTAACTCATGGGGTATCGTGATAGATC